TGTGTGTGTGTGTGTGTGTGTGTGTGTGTGTGTCCCCTTTCTCTCTCCCTTCCTTCCCTCCCTCCCTTTCTTTTAACTGTTGAGATGTGGTCAAAAAAGTGAAAGCCATTGACACATTGTTTCTGTAAATATACTACACGTATGGAAGAGTTTTGTTCTTGCAGCCAGAGTTGGAGGCAGGAGCCGAGGATAGGAGAAAGGTGTTATTTTGTGCTGTGTATGTTTTGTACTTCGGAGTGTGTTTGCGTTACTTTTTCAATGAAAAAAGAAAGACCTGAAGGGGTGGTGCTTAGTGTGGCACTGGAGCCCAAGAATCATGAGGTCATTGGGGCACTCGGGTGGCTCAGTCGGTTAAGTGGCCGACTCTTGATTTTGGCTCAGGTCATGATCTCACGACTTGTGAGATCGAGCTCCATGTCAGGCCTGCTTGGGATTCTCTCCCTCTCTCTTTGCCCCTCCCCTGCTTGTTCTCTGTCTCTCAGAATAAAGAAACATGAAAAGAAAAAGAATCATGAGGTCGGTAATGATGAGGAGGCCAGAGATTCCAATCCCAACCAACCCCTGACCCACTGTGGGTCTCTGAGCCTCAAAGGATAGGGCTAAGGGGCCCCATCATATTAAGAGTAGGCCAGAGATGAGATATGTGCATGGCCTAGGGGGCACCTGGCATACGGTAGGCACAACATAAACGGTTATTCTTCTGATCCTTGCCAGCGTGGGGCTGAGGGCTGTCCCTCTCTTGTCCCTCTATCTCTGATTTCCGGTCCCTGTGTATCACCCTGCCCTTGTTCTCCTGAGTGTATGGCCACCCACAGAGGACTGGCAGCCATCCAAGACGCCTCGCCCTGGGAGCCATCTGTGTGACAGGAGGTGCTGCAGGGGGCCCAGGATGCCCAGAGCTGGGGAAGGCGGAGGTCCAGTCTGGGATGGGGACAGTCACCCAAAGAGCTGCAGGCGTCCGTTATCCTTGGCAGGGCCGGCCAGCAGCAACAGGTCTGGGAGTTCCAGGGCTGGACTGGAGGCTGCCACCCCCATGGTGACCTTGTTGGCGACTTCTCCTAACCGGGTCACCTGGGGCCAGGGGTTAGAGGTTAGAAGCCAGATAGATGGAAGGTAGGATTGGTGGGGTTAAGGGTCATGAACCAAGTCTATTAAACACCAAGTCCGGGGTCAGATATCCCGGGGTCAGAGGTCAGAGTCATCCGGGTGTTAAGTCAGGGAAACTGAACCAAGGGAATCAGAGGCCAGGGTTCATAAAGAAGCTAAAGGTCTAGAGGTCTGGGGGGTGGGGTTGGTCCGGAATTCCAGGAGATAAATGTTATGGGAGCGTGGTCGGAAGTAGGCAGAGCAGGGGCTCCTGAAGTCAGGAGGTCAGGCCTCAAGCCCAGGCTCGGTGTCAGGGGTTCTGGGGCTCCACACCTGCACAAAGTTGCTCTCAAAGATGGGGAAGTCTCGCAGCTGATCGAACTCGCCGCTCAGGAGGTGGCGCTGCAGCCGTCCGGGCCGGCCCGTGGGAAAGGCTGGAACCAGGGGGCATTCTAGATGGGCGAAGTTCGGGGGTCTAGTCCAGGAGGCTGGGCCTGGGCCCCCCATCTGGTAGGGCCCAGGGAAGCCGCGCTCTGAGGGTAGGGGAATCGGGGCTATCAGTCTGCGCGTCGCCGGCTCCCTCCCTCACGGGGTTCCCTCACCTGGTCCAACCCTGCCAGGCCCGGCTCCGCCTCTCACCTGTCATCCCACCTGCTCCACCCGGGGCCGGGTTAGTCTGGTGCCCCCTCATCATCGCAACGCCCCGCCCCATGAGGAGAGCGAAGGCAGGTGCCTGCGGAGAAAAAACGGAGGGGTGGGGCCGCGGACTCTATCACGTCACAACGCGGCGGACCCGGCTTGAACTCACCAAAGAGACGCCCGTTTGTGACGTCACTCTAGGGGGGCGGTGCCTAGAGACCGGGGAGGTGCCTAGATCTGGGCTTGGCTGCAGCCGCTCTGTAACGTCAGACGCCCGTGGCGGGCGCTAGTGCGCAGGCGCAAGGAACTGGCGCAGGCGCATGGGAGGCGTGCTCTGAGGCGCCGGGCTCACTCCCGCCCCTGGCCTGGTGGGAAGGGGTGAAAATGGCGGCGGCCGGCGCTGTGGCTACTCGGCTGCTCCTGCTCCTGCTGATGGCGGCAGCAGCCCCCAGCCGCGCGCGGGGCAGCGGCTGCCGGTCCGGGACCGCTCTGCGGGGGGTGAGTGCTCATTAACTCTGACGGGGAGCGGGGCTGACGGAAATCCTGGCTCTCGGGTGTTTACATCGGGTAAGGTGGGAACGAGGCATTGCAGGGCCAGGAGAGAGGAAGAGGTGAAAGTGAGAGCATAGTTAGGAAGGCTCTAGCTCGTGAACATACACGAGTGGGCGGGCCTCGGATGGACTCTTGGTGCCTGGACTTTG